CGTAGACTCGCATTGGCGCCTCACAACGGAAACGGCCGCGCCGCCACGGCGGCACAGGAGACGGAGCGCAGAACTAAAATTGTCCGTCATTTCCATAGGGATTATCGGGTTCGAACTGATACTCCGGACGGGATGGGCCATGAGCCCCTATGAATATCTCCGTAAAAATTGGAATATTTCCGGAATGCTAGAAATGGAAAATGTACTCTTCGGAATATTCCCGGAATGCTAGAAATGGAAAATTTACTATAGCGCAGAAAACGAACGCAGGCAGAACGGAACTCCGTCGCATTAGCGCGAGCGCAAGGGGCGACCGCGTCACGGCAGCGGCGGCAGATCGGGCGGAATTTCCAGATCATCAAGTAGATCCTCTTGAATAGATGCATAACTTCTGTGTCGAACTGAGGTTCGAGCTGGTGATGTGCTTTCAAGCAATGGGAGGGGTGTCCGTGCTTCACAGACGTTTTGGTCGGAATCGGTGAGGATTTTTGTCTACAGACAGACAGAGTGACACACAGACTTAGCGTTTTATATATTGGGGGGATATATAAAAACGTATGTCTGTCTGTCTGTCTGTCTGTTTGTCTGTCCGGGGTACCCTATAGACTCGAAAACGGCTGAACCGATCTTCGTGAAAATTCAGGAGTGTGACCTGGGGGATCCAGCGGTGGTTATAGGGGGGTCAGTTCTCCGATGCGATGAGTCCTTCTACCTTAAAAAAATTATTTGAGTGCTCCACCCACGAAAATACGAAAACTCGGAAAAAAATTGAAAAATCTGAAATTCGCAAAATTCACTAACGCCTGAACCGATCGCCGCAAAAATTCAGGGGTGGGTTCCCGGGAGCTTCAGGAAGGTCATCTGAGGGTCGTCGTTCTCATGTTATGGGTCCTCCCCCCCATAAAAAAATGATTTGAGTGGTCCTCTCACCGAGAATCGAAGATTTCATCAAGGGAAAGACGGGAATTCGATTTTCCGGAGGACATATCTAATAAAAGCGGGGGCACGTGGAGGCGGGGAAACGGGGAAGTGGGGAACAGGGAAGCGGGGAACCGGGAAGCGGGGAACCGGGAAAGCGGGGAAACGGGAAAGCAGGGAACCGGGAAAGCAGGGAAACGGGACGCTCACCAAGAGCACGCGCGACCAAAGCAAGCGCACCCGAAGCCAGCGCACTCGGAGCCAGCGCACTTGGAGCCAGCGCACTTGGAGCCAGCGCACTCGGAGCCAGCGCACTCGGAGCTAGCGCATGTGTAGTGAGTCCAGCGATACCGAGTCGCCGCGAAGCGGCGACCGGGAGCGCTAGTATATATATATATCTTTGCGGGCATGTCGTCAACGATTGAATGCTCTCGGCTTACTTTTCGCCTATATCTAGCTCACGAGCTCGACGTGACGGATTTCTGGAGTCTTTCGAAACCTCCTCCCATATTTGTTTGCTTTTCATTATCACCCTCGCGGTGACAACGCCTGGCGTCGTATTCAGGGAGAATTGGAGGGAAACGAAAACATGCACGAGAGGACCATTAATTTTCCTCTCAAAGCGGAGGATTGAGCAGCCTTATGATTACCGCTGGAAATAATGCTGGAGTGCAGAGAATGGCGTCCAGCAGGATTGAGGGCTCGTCCGCGGGCCCTTTTCGGAGTTGGATCAAGGGAAGAGGGATGGAGGTTGCGTTATGAGCCGGTCGAAAGGCCCCGGTGGTGAGCGAGAGAAGCGGCTTCAGAAGTAGCATCGAGGATGCGGGGCCGAATCCGCGCGGAAAGGTTTCGCTCCTCTCGCTCCTGGAAGTCGTTGCAGAAGAGTTCGTTCGAAAGCAACTGAACAATAAGAAAGGGAGGGAGCCGAACGAAGTTAGGCATAGCTAGCGGGAAGGCTTTTCGTTCATATCGCCTAAGAGGGCGAAGAGCAATGATACGGAGGGGGCACAAGTCAAGCGCCGAAGAGTAATCGTAGCTTGTTGCGTTTATGCTCTCAATGCTCTCAATTAGTAAAGATATCCTTCCCCGCTTTCGGTCGTCGTCTCCCGACCGGTTCTCGGAGGAGTCTTCTTCGCTTTTAGTCCGACTGAGGTCCGATGGGAGTCGGGCTTTCGAGCACACGCTCCAAAAACTCGGATGACTCTCGAGCGATTTCAGATGACGATCCGGTCGAAAGCCTCGTGCAAGGATGCATCCGCGAACTATTTTCGTGTGAAACAGTTTCACTCCAACTCCAACCAGATTATGCTTCCGTACAGAGATCACTGGAGGCAATCTCTCGAGAATTAACTCCTTCGACGGCAGTCCGATACTCGAAGCCCCGTTTGCAGACTCGGTGATCGGGGCCTCGGAGCCCACGTCATCTAGCGATCGCTGCGTAAAAGCACAGGGACAGGGGAACATGAAGGAGATCACTTATTCCTCGAATCATCCCGACTCGTGATGAGGACGATTCAGGAAACTCACCGCATCATTATCTCGCTTACAGGCAAACGGAGCGCGGTCAGAATATCACGCACATACTCAACTCGTTTTTCACGAAAGGCTACGACAAGCGAGTCAGACCAAACTATGGAGGTAAGAGGAGAAACATTTTCTTCCATCATTCGCCCCGAATCTTCCAGTGGAAGATTCCCCATGACGCGTTCCCGCGTCGAGAGGTCAAAGATCTCTTGTTGCTTCGAATGAGGGGTTTCCCGTCGAGTCGATCTAAGGGAGCGGGCATTCGCCACGGACTGGGTCTTGCCTCCTCTCGTACCTGTCGCTAGAATCACGCTGAATGGAATCAGGGGGCCCCGCTTTTGTCGTCATAAATTCTCTTCGAATATACGACATGACGGGTTGTAGGATGTAGACGCGATTGCGGCTCCGAGAGCCCAGCTGCAACAGAGAGCTCCGCCTGAAAATGACAATTTCGCATGTCATCCATTTGCTGCGACAAGGACAGCGACATAGTTCTTACCGTGAAAACTTGCTTGCTGATCACGGGCTGCTGAATTTCGTCTCGGGGAGAGCGTTATGGTACCCGAATCTTCCTAACGTCCCACTTTTTATTGCGCGTGAGATGCGTAGTTTGCGTTTCAAGGTCGCTCCACAAGTGCACAGACAGCGGAATGTTGCCGGAGTTCTCTCCATAAATTAGAAATACGGCGACTGAGACAAGGAACAGCCTACCAGTCGCGCTCATTTGATTTCCAATTGAGTCGGGAGGTGACTAGCCGCAAAATGTCCCTCGCCGACTCGCGAGCATTCCCCCAGCCGGCAGACCGGTTATTGTCGCAAGCAGGAAGACGAGCAGGGTAATGCCAAGCATCCTGTAATGACCTCCGATTGCACTGGCCGTCTGCAGACGGGCGGGGAAACATGGCGGAGTGATTCCCCGTTCACCTGCGAGCACTAATTGAAGCAGTTTGCTGGACGGTCGCTGCGTGGTCGGTCGACTGGTTCACGCTATCTTCCCGCGAGCCCGCACTTTCAGAAACTTCTGCGAGAGTCACGCCATTGAACTCTATCTCCGCTCAGTAGATTCCGACCGAGTTTCTCTTGACACTACGAAAAAGATTACCTACTGGATCACGGAGAAAACGCTCTCACGCGGATACGTACTTTTCATATTTTCGGGGAAAAAACGCCCGCGATTCCTCTGGCTGCGGAGCTCGTCCGAATGATTGGCGAGGGCCAACGGTTTCCATCGGAGCCATTTCCTTCAGGGTTCCGCGTGGATTGTTCCCTAGAGACAGTCGAATGGTGAAGCAGCTTGCCAAGGCCTGACTGTGCTGCGAGACCTCTCGAGGATCTTCAGTCCAGTCCGCCTTGAACATTGCTGTCTCGCAGGCGAGCATTCATTGAAAGTCACCAGGCGGCTTCGAAGAAGCCCGAAGGGAAAAACTCGAGTTTCTGCAGCTGTTTTCAACCTTATTGTTGTGACTGTTGGCTCCTATCAAGTGGCAGGCTCGAATTTATACAGCATCGATTCCTATAAGGCAGACATACGCTCCCAGAATTTTTCCCCTCTCACCCCGAGGTCCCCAGTTAGACCCCTGGGAAAACTCTGTCGGACGCTAGAACGGAGAATGGATTCCGGTGAAGAATCGCTGTATCTAACTCGCTCAGATGGATCTTATGCTCTGGAAGACTAGCGGGTACTTGAAGTATGTCATCATGTCTGCGTCGTCTTCCGGCGGGGGGACCTAAAATTGGAGCCTCGTATAACAACACAGCGTGAGCCGTAATGAAACGATAACAATAGCGGGGATAAGTGCTCGTAGACAAAGTGGAAAGGGAAGCGACAAGTGACGGAGGTTGGGAAATTTCCAGCGCAAAAAGTTTCGAAAACCTTACACGTCGCCGACCGAGCGCCGCGCCGGCAGCCTGAACACGTCGAGGCTACAGTAGCTAAATCTGAACGGGGCATTAGAGGAATTCTTACGACCGATATCGTAACAAGGGTTTCCATGAGTCGACGAGTCTGCCGGGCGAGCTTAGTCTCAGGTTTCTCTTCTCTCCTGAGCTCGAATTTCGTCCGATCACGTCTCCAGGATTCATGGCTCGCGGAATCGTTGCTATGCAGCCGTCAGACGCCGAGCGGGGAATCGAATCGCTATAACAACGGTGGAAAGATGTGGAATGAATCCGGCCTGAGCTCTCGAGTTCCGAGACCTGGCTTGAAATACCCTATCTATGATATAATCGAATGATCCGAATGATTGACGGAGGGAGCGAAGAACCGGTGCTCGAGATCCCGGGCGGAATAGAGTGGATCGCACAATGGGAGCACGTAGTGCAGGTACAGAAATCTTCGGGGATTGCTGGTTCCTTCGTATCTTCCACTCATAAACTATACGGAGTTACGATGGCAACAGCTGCCTATTTTGCTGCTAGGTCTGCTGCATGCGTTTACACTTATATAACTAATAGCAGCTGTAGAAGCGGAGCAGGTGTATCCGCCGAACCACTGGAGCGGGCCTCAAACGCGAGCGAGCGAACACGCTGACGCGCGAAGCACAGGAATTTCGTCTCCCGAGAGACGATAGACAGATAGGAGGGAAGTGTGCCAAAGATAGAGGGAAACGCACTGGTAAAGCGCACAAGGTGTATCAGGGTCGCAATCACTAGCGACTCCGACGCAGACATAGAGGAGCTCTATTGTGTTGAAATTGTTTCGCAACTCTCTCTCCAGGCGCGGCGCTCCGCGACCTTGAGCGCTTGCCCTCGTTGAATTGCTGGATGTAACAGTTTCCTTCAGCGGGAGACATGACGAAGGACGTCCGCTAGCCCTTTCGCTCAGTCGGTGTAGTTCAAAAAGAGCTCAGCAGTCGATTGGAGTCTAGTCTGTCCCGATAGAGCACACCCGAACTCAGTGGATTCGACCTTGTTGGCTTCTTATATTGCGGGGCGATTCAATAATCAATACTCCTCTCGGCCTGTAGCGGATTGATGCTACAGTATAGAAACTCTGGAACGGCCTCTCGACTGGCTTCTGCCTCTCGACCGACGAATTTGATCGCAAAGGAGGGCGAGCGCATCCACGTCGACGGACGGACGGGCGGAACGACCAACCAGCCCTTCCGTCAGCTCGAGGACTGAATCACAGAGCGGGATAAACCAGATAATGCGTCCAGATCGTCGGTCGGAGAAGATTTTGTGCGCTTGAAATCTCCTCGTGAGGGGAGAGAGGGTAGGGAGTTCCGTGGTAAATGATTGGAAAAATCCCAAACTCCACACAAACCGCTGACATCCTGCGAATTCGCTACCGAGAGTTCGCGCGTTCCGCGCAGCTCGGTCTTCGTGGGCAGCTCATGTGTCGGGAGCGTCGGAGGACCTCGGAACACACAGAGCTTTCCTATTCCCGGAGAGTCATGAGCTTCTTGCTCGGATAACCTCTGCTACCAGACCTCCATTCCCCCATGTCGGCTGCTCAGAACCACTCTCATCCGTCTGGGTCGGTCGCCCAGCCGATTTCGAGGTCCTGAACCGCTGCCAGGGATGCGTTGAGCCTGACTTGGCTGAGGGAGGGCTGTCTACCTAAGATATTCGCCCGTCCATTCGCGGTTCGACGATCCAGGATCATTCTCCATGGACGAGTAATTATTCCCGACGCAGACCACCGCCGTTAACAGCTTGCCGAGGTGACAGGCGGGCTGCTCGAGTCGGTCTGTAGGGAAAAAATCCACTGGACTGGAAAATTCTCTCGGCTCTGAATATTATGCATGCACTCGCCGACGACTATCCTACGCTAATTTCGACTGTTGGAGGATCCGCGGAGTATCGTTCCGGATAAATCTCGTTCTCGTTAGAGATGATCGTCAATTCCTTGATAATCAATGCGATCGGTATCTACACCGATGTGGGCAATTCCATGTTGCTAAAGTTTCCCGCATTTCCAGGTCCCCCAGTAAAAGTAGGCGTCAGCATGCAGATTGTCAGTATCAGTGCCGTCTCCGAAGTTCAAATGGTAAGTGCTCTCAAGCTACTGGGTAATTGCGTCGAGTAAACGGGAATAATGAGTGCTTGGTACGAACCAACGCGGAAAGATGCGAAGACTCCCCGAGCGCTCGTGCAGCGAATTTCAACGACTCCGCACGTCGCCCGAGTTGTCCATCGACAATGCGCGAGTGCTCAACGAGCAACTTCGTGTGGTTCTCGCGGACAGGGTGACCCTCGAGCAAATTGCGCTGAAGTTGACTGTTTGTCACTTGTTGTGACGGTCTCCCACCTGCCACCTTGAGCTCGCTGTCATGGCGCTGATTGCCTGCACGCTCCCACGACTTACTGATGGACGGAGACGAAAACGGAAGCAGTTCCCCTGGACGTTGTGTCCGAGAGCTGAGTTATGTTGTTGATCTCTCTCGCTCACTCACCCGTCGTCTCATTCACTGTCGACGTCCAAAGCTTCGGTAAGGGCTCTCTGAAATCCAGGAAGGAGTGGACGGCACCCGCGAGCCTCGCGGAGGACAGAACGTCGCCGTCGTCGTCTATGTGGCGCCGGGGGAAACCGGTCGCTCGTCCGTTAAGTCTTCACGATCGCTGTCGTATGTTCGACACGTTCGACGTAATTCCGCGACGACGACGTCGATCCACACCATCAACTCCAACGTCAATCGATGGCGATGTTCTCGGAGTTTCTCTCCGTCAGCGTCGTCTGAAAACCGCTGACCTCAACTGAGGTCAACCTTGCCGCATAAACCATAAAGGATTTCGATGGGCGAAGTCGACGTGCGGGTCAGCTTGCTCTCGGCGTCTTTTTTGCGGAGAAATCGCTCACACGCGCGACATCACCTCCAATGGACCATCCGCCACCGCGTGGTTGTCGCGCGTGCCATTTCCTCATGCAAACAAACCGAGGAATTTTCGTTGGTAGAACCCTAGAGATTCGCGAACGCCAACAGAATAGTGAAGGAAGGACGAAGGAAGGAGGTCGCTATGGAGGAGGATAGTGTCATTTAGTCATCTCGCCTCCCCGCCTCGCGTCGATGGTCCCGCTGGTGGCGGTAGTCTGAAGTACCCTGAATCGGGAACGATAGCTTGCAGGACCTCCGTGTAAATAGCGTCATGGAGAAAAGCAATGAAGATATGCGCGTTGAGACATCCCCTCATGGGGCTCTTCCTCACTTGATTCCTCGCTTCGTTGGTCCGCGCGCGTCGTCCGACTGGCGTTCAAGTCTCCGGGGGCTCGATTCGGGGCTCTGACGAACTTGGGGTGTCTGGCCGTTTTTTCTTCTCGCATCTGAATCACTTCCGTACTCTTCTCAGGCCTTAGAACTTTTTTCCAACTCGAATCCAATTCTTTGCAGGATTTCACCTCAGATTTTTACTTCCGACAGTCGTGGAGAGACGAAAGATTGTCTTTTCCTCGAACAAATGAACTCAGCCAAATGACGGTAGGCGCAGAGGTGGCCGGGAAGATCTGGGTGCCAGATACGTTCTTCGCCAACGAGAAAACCGCATATTTCCATATCGCTACGACCCCAAACACTTTCCTAAGAATCGGATCAGATGGTGACGTTTATCGAAGTATTAGGTGAGCGATTTTTCTTGTCTCGCCAATTACGAGGAACGCCGAGAAGTCCTACTCCTGGACTCTGCTTGAGGCATGCCGTGCCATCAGACGTTCCATCGCGAAGAATCAAAGGCACGATGATCGGAGGAACGGAAGTTTTGAAAGGACGGACTACTTCGGGAGCCGCCTCGACGGCTGACTAATCAGTGGACGCTCAGAATAGCTCAATTACTCACATCCTTGCGATTCGTTCCAGGTTAACCGTCACAGCCAGCTGTCCCATGGATCTCCGATATTTCCCCATGGACCGACAGAGCTGTACGATCGAAATTGAAAGTTGTGAGTTTCCATCCTCCAAAGTACACGAACGCACGATTATCCTTTGGTCGGACAGAGCTGTCCAGAAGGGAATACGCAAGTGGTAGATCTCTCTGAGAAGTTTCCAAACAGAGCCCCGAGGAATACCTATTATCGCAGAGGAGTTCAGATCTCACGGAAGGCCTTTCCCTGTCAATCCGAGCAAAGTTCAAAGAGAAATAGGAGATTACCAAGAGGCTTCAAACAATTAGCGAGTTCCAATCGGTGGATTGCGCAAATTCAGCGCTTGATCGAAGGCCGCGATTTTCGACATTGCGGGCTCGACGGTCCCGCTTCGAGGTCGGATCCATGGACATTTCGATCTAAGTCCCACTCAAGATCGGGAGAGGACCGTTTCTCTAAAACGGGATTTCGGGAGAGGTGACGTGGCGGATTCGGTGTTACTCGGAAGAGCCATGATACGATTTCCAGTGAACTCGCGTTTACGGTCCTTGGCAGTCCGGAAGCTGCACAGTATCCCTGAAAAGAAAAGGCTATCGAGCCGATCTAGCTTTAAGAGCAATCTGACATGTGCGACGGCGGAAGATTCCAGGTCAACGTGGGAGGCAGGAGCTTGTATATACATCGGAAGAGCTTCCATTACTGACGACAATAAAAGCTAAATCAGTGCCATAAGATTTAACAAGCACCCCTCAAGCTTGAGTGCTCCTGTCCATAATGTCCAAAGAAAGACCGCGCGGCCATCTCGAGTCTGGCGGGGAGCGTCGAGTCTCCGCTGACACCATCGTAATCACTCAGGATTTAGAGACTCGGGTGGAGGGTCACCAGCCTGCATCATTTCTCTCGGAACGGGGTTTTTATCTAACGTCTCTCAATCTTCATTTATTTCCAGTTGGTTACACAATGAGCGACATCCGGTACTCATGGCGTGATGGAGCCAAGAGCGTCGGGATTTCAGAAGAGGTTCAGCTGCCTCAATTCAAAATCCAAGGTCATGTACAAAAAGCGTCTGAAATCTCTCTATCGACGGGAAACTATTCGCGACTCATCTGCGAAATACGTTTTGTCCGCTCGATGGGATACTACCTCATTCAAATATATGTTCCTGCCGGTTTGATCGTCGTCATCTCATGGGTGAGTTCCGGAATCCCTCAGCCGGAGAACCTCCGAAACGCCCTCGTGAGCCCGACAGCGTTTTTTCTTGCGTGAGGAGATCGGAGAGCTGTCCTCGACGCCCGCATCCGGGATACAAACGCGTTTTTTTCACGGGGTCGTTTATCGGACAGTAGATGTCATCAGGAAGCGCGACCCTCAATTAGAGCTCATAATTTCTTCAAGGTATCATTCTGGCTCCATCGGAACGCCACTCCGGCACGAGTCGCACTGGGAGTAATGACTGTGCTCACCATGACCACATTGATGTCCAGCACAAACTCCCAGCTTCCAAAAATTTCTTATGTTAAATCGATTGATGTCTACTTAGGAACATGTTTCGTGATGGTGAGTGAAATCGCATCTCATGCGATGGATAGGCAATTATTGAACTTTTCTTTGCGGGAATACTTCACCACTCGTTGCGCTCTACGTAGAGGTTCCGAGGCGGTGATTTCGGACTGACGTGGCCTTCAGAGCTTCGAAGAAGCGCGACCTTCAGAGTTGTCTGACATGCCGCCTCTCCATTGGCGGGCTGCGCAGATGAAGCCATCAGATGTTACCACCGCGCGACGCCGAAAATAAGCCGCTGGATCCCGGGGAAAGGCTCGCGAGAGCCAGGAATCAGCGTTTGTCTCGCCAGAGTTGAATGGATCCTCGAACATCGGCGACGGTTGGCTTCTCCGTCATCGGATACCGATACCGAAAAGCTTCGGCAATTGAAGTGATCGCTCCGCACGGAAAAGCGGGAGCTCGTATGAAGTCACGAGCAACGCCTGCTCCTTCGGCGTGCTTGCCGCCGGCGAGTTCGTTTCCGGAGACGGGAAAAAAAGCTCTACGCGGAGGACGATCCCTCTGCGACGATTCACGGGAAAAATCGCTGACGACGGCCCGGTTGCTCGCACGTCCAGTGACGTGGATCAGTTAGGCTGAGGAACTCACAGGTCGGGAGTCTTCGGACAGATAAAAACCCCTGCGAGGAGAGATACTCGCTCACCTCAGGCGTGTTAAGAGGGTTCGCTGTTGAGAATCGATTCTCCATATCGTGGCAAGACCAACGGTTTGCGTCTGCGTCGCGATGTCGCGTCAGGGTGTCCACGAGAATCTCGCGAATGAAATTCGCTCAAACGATATCGATTCCGCTGTCCAAATTCGGGCTGGTCTCGATGGAATAGAATTGTGCCGATTCAATGGCTCCATCGGTTTTCTCTGCTTCATGAGAGAATTGCGCTCTCGGCCGCGATTCTGGAGCGAAAAAACTGCACATCGGACGCGAATAAAACGTCGAGTGAGTAGCGCCGATGTTCAGCTTTTTTCTGAGGCAACATTAGGAATTTCACCGCACTGAAGTTGAGAGCGTCCGGAGGAATGTTCAGAGCTCATGAAAAAAGAGGATCCGGACCTTGAGTGAAAATTCCGAGACACCGCTGTTGGAATTCGCTCGCCAGCCCCGACACCGACGGGGCGATAGTGAGGTGCAGCGGAACGGAAATCGGGAGAGGAAAATTGAGACACAGACGATTATTATCAATCTGTTCAGCGTATTGGTTAGTTCTACCCAGACGACATCATTTTCATGGTCGACTTTTCTGGGAAGGAGGCCGGCCGAAGAGACTCTCGAGTTCATGTTTCCCGGGAGGCGGCCCGCCGACTTTCCGCCAGTATCAGGTTACAAGTGCAGTAGAACGTACAAGTAGCAGCAGCGCCGTCGCGCTCACGCCATGGCGGTCCGTCCGGTCCTTTCGGTAATCTGAAACCTTCGCTACGATCAATTTGCAGGTGTTTGCTTCACTCCTGGAATACGCAGCCGTTGGATATCTTGGGAAAAGAGTTGCCATGAGAAAATCCAGGGCGCAACAGCTGGCCCGGTTCCAGGACAGGAAGCGAACGCAACGGGTGATGCGCCAGGTAAGGAAGAATTGAATCACCGTAAAATTGATTAATAGAGTTAAATAATTGAACTTGAAAAATGCTACACGTTGATCTTTCCGAACGATTCTACCTACAGACTTCATTACTTTATCGTCTCTGGATAGTCCCATCGATCACCTACATGATTCACTATCGAGCTCTTGTCCGCTACTATCGGAGCGGTTGCCGATTTTCTTGGGAAAACCTCTTCGTGAGAATCTTGTGCTCGAGACTCCAACCGCGACTGTGCCATGGTTTAAGATCGTGTCACTGTGATTCCTTCTGCGTCTGGCCTTCCGAGTCGCTGGAGAAAGAAATTCCGCGAAGAGCTAATAAGCAGTATGCCATCGCAGCATGGAAGGCCGAGTTTCTCGTTCCGCAACATGTCGCGCGGAAGATCGATCATAAACGATTCGGCGAGCGACTTGCGAAGGGCCTCTTATACTTCTCATATTGAGAGGCGTCACATGTTGCTCGAGTAAAGAGTCACACGAAACACTAATATTAGAGAACACTGTAATCGACACTGCGCGAGTCGATCTGGCTGGCGGTCTAGCTCACAGTCGACGCACTTTCTCTTCCTTGCAGTTTGGTCCCAGCATGGATGAAATGAGCCCGGAGCACGATCCTTTGATAACGAAGAACTATAACTTCAACTTCAATCAAGCGCCTTGGGGCGGTGGAGCGACGTCTGCCCCGGCTCCAATGCCCGCGTATAACCCGCGATACGAGCGAAAACTTCACATCGCATCTGCGCCAAAGTCCGTTCATCATGGGGGCCGGGAAAGCGGGAAACACCTCGATTTGAACAGCGGCAGCATAAAGCCGCACGGCAAGCATCACTCGAGTGAAAAGTCGAAAAACAATAACCAGGATAAAGTGGTGAGTTCTCCTCGAGCGGGATTGGCGAATTTCTCTGGTAGATTATGTTTATCAGTGCTTATCAGCAACAATGACCAGTAGGTTATAAGATACTACCTGGGTTTTCGATCTGCCCAATCTATCCTCATACATTTCCACATTATCTCTCGACGTATAGAGCGCTGCCTCGATTCTCTCATAGATATTCTCCACGAATCGTCGGAAGGATTACGTATGTTCCCCCGCCTCGGATCGCGGGAAAAAAGGAAATGGACCGCCAGCGCCGATATAACATGCTCGAAAGTAATCAGAATTAGCCCCGGCGCCTCAACGGTCAGAGGGCCAACAGGAAGCCATTAAGGCGAATTCCGATCATTAGTTCCCCGGAACCTCATTTCTGTCTCTTTGTTCGCTGTCATATTCATTTGAGCCGAGCCGTTCAGGTTGATACTCTAGCTTTCTAGAATGTCGCTCAGAGATTCCGTCTGAGAGCGAACAAGCTTAAAGAGCTCACTCACCTTCTGAGGTGTGATGCGTGTCCGCGAGGTCTTCCGAAGAGGTCTCTCTCGTAATTGTTGGTCGACAGATATCGAATTTTCCCGTGCGCCTAACAGGCTCCCCGAGGCTATGTGGGAAGAGAGAGCTCCGGCAGAGAAAACCATTACGTGGTGGGCGATGTCGTGGCTCATGTCGAAGCTAGTGGACTCGCTCCAAATCCGATAGACCGTTTATACTTAATACCTACGCGCTCAACCGAAGACCTACATCTCTCTCATCGATCTCAAGGCTCGCATCGATGTTCATGGGATATGCTGCTTTGTCATAAAGAAATTCGCTTTATCCACAGGATGAAATTGAGAACCAAATCCGAAGTGAATACTACTCCTCTTCGAACCCTGGGAGACCTACGCAGATCGGACACGGCAACCTCAAGTTGTCCTCGAGCTCAGCTCGTAACGTTAACAATTACTACAACACCATCAACGGCAAACACCACCAGCAGTTGAACAGCATGAGTAATAACCCAACAAGTATGATGAACTCGTACAACATGATCAACCACAACGGGCCTCCGACGTCGCACTACGCAACGATGCCTCACCTCGTCAACCCACGCGAACGACGGACAGACCACCTTAACAACTCCATAATCAACCCTCTGGTGGCAATGGTACGTAAATTCGATTGATGTGTCTTCCGTTTGTCCGAACTCGGTCGGAACGAAGGAAGAAGATTTGAACGATGTCCCTCGGTGGCCAAGACAAGCAATGGTGGCCTCTAGCCTCGCTTCTCGTTCTTCTGTCATGGCCATCTTATGTCATGAAGCTCATATGGCAGAGAGACAACGATATTACGCCGAAGCTTTCCCGAATTACGGACAATGTTCCGCAGACTTCCCTCGCGATGGGCGGGCGGGCTGCCGCTGAGTCGACCGGCCGAGCGGCGAACGGTCCCATCTTGTAGTTTGTAGGTATGTCCGTCCGTTTGTCGGATCGGCTACGTGGGTCATGGCCTTGGTTCCTCCCAACCGTGCACCGAATAGGGTCCGCCACGGGGAGGACAGCTAACAAACGAGCGACATATTGGCATTCTTCTCCGGGATGGCCGGCCGAGCAGATGTTCGGACCGTCGGTCCCCGAACCGAAAAACTCGGTCGCTTGTGAGACGCGAACGTCGTGTGGGGACGAATATTAGGTCGACCGGCTGAATTTCTCGCCGAACCGGAGCCAATGACAGGAATGGGCTCCGATCGCCCTCTTCGGTGCTATAGTCCTCAATTATTAGGGAGCAGCTCGCTCTGATATCCAACCGTCACTGTTTGTCTTTCAGGACGAGCATAGACTGAGTCGATGCGATTCGAAGATTTCACGCAAGGCTTCGACGTCTCCGGAAGGCAGCATCGTCGGAGGAGCCCTGAGCCCGGCTGTGGAGTCGGTCCTCCTGAAGAACCCGAACAAGCTTTGCGGGGTCAATCCGAGTGACATTGATAAATATTCTCGAGTCGTATTCCCCGTTTGCTTCGTCTGCTTCAACCTGATGTACTGGGTTATCTACATGAGGATCTCCGACGTCAAGTACGCAGAACCCACTGTGCTCCATTAGTGTTCGTGGATCCCCTTTGCTTTCGTGGTCGCCTGGATCGTCCTGGACCTGTCAATCCGTCTGGTTGGATGATACCGGCTTATTTTCCACCCTGGAGATACAGTACTCCTCGCTTATCACCCGGGTGATGTTTCCAAAAGTGAGCTCGACGAAAAAGCTGCCTCACTCCCATGGATCCTGACTTTTTCGGGAGCGTTGTTGTTGTTTATTCCCTCTGTTGGGCGAATTCGTCTCCACTCTGTGCCTCAATCGTACCATGAGATTCCAAGCCATCGCAATTTTTTCTCTGGCACGCCTCGAATAGAAAGACCTCGCCATGTATTCCGATTGAGAATTCCTATCGTTCTCTACAGTCTCAAGTCAAGAATATGCTCAACATTAAGTTTGAAAAGTCAATATCAAACCTCAGACGGGTCCAGTAAGGTCCTGCATGCGGGACGTATGATGCAAGCCTGCTCGAATCCAAAGGCAGGCGAGCCTTCGAGCTGCCTTTATCATCCCTATCGGTAACCACATGTTCTGTCAAGGGTTTGCTCTCCATCACACATGACTCGGAATCAGTCATTCAAAAGAAAAAAATCCGATAGGCAGCTTTTGGCAACCGTTTCTTCAGCGGGCACAGTGGGCAGGAGATCTACAGACCGCGTAACTCAGATCGAATCAGGTCAACGAGCATCGGCCTCGTTTGAAGAAATCCTTACCAAAAATCGGTAATATTGGAACCTCAGCCTGAGCCAACCAGCTCTCAAAGAACAAAATTCGAAGCAGAGACAGCATTAACAGCTGACCGCGAAAACGCAAATCGAAGCAGGGGAATACGGCCCATGAATATGCCCTTAGGATATAAAAACTGATTTCGCATAGGTATACGTGATGAGCTGAAATTACATAATCAAGCACCCCGATTGGTAACGATCTCAACATGGAATGTCATGAGACATTTCTACCGATATCACCACTACCTGTCATCACACAAGTCCTTCTACTTTGAGATTATCACTACTTCTCCCGATGCATGCTCGATGTGAGGGAGCGCATATTGCGACGCGGGTCGTTCAGAAACTGGAACCGACCATCGACGTTCGATTATCACCGGTAGCTATGACGTGTGTAGGTCTACACACGCTATGATGAGATGCCGTACTGCACGTAATTGACGCCGCACTTCTCTGGAGTGCACCGAATGAACCGTGACCGACTAGCGGACAAACAGGCCGCTCGCCTCGTCGGCATCGTTATTGGAACACGTTCCACGTACCACCATTATCGATGACACAGTTCTCCAGAGAGTGTAGCAGTGTTAGTTGTCTTGTACCAAGACGAATCGTAGCTGGTGACATTGCTCAACGTAGACCCGCTTCGGGACTGGTAGCCAGCTGTTCGTATAGCTAACAAAAATTTTAAAATTCGTTCGTTCCTAGATTATCATGAACGCCTTACGTGAACAAAGACTGACATAAATGCCGCAAAGTGAGAGCACTTGCGTTGCTGTGGTCGACAGACGGCTCCCCGGGAGCGCGCTTGACAGCAACACCCGGAGCATGCTCCCCGCCCAATGAGTGTATAATCTTATCGATGTCTTCCAAATCAATCAAAGCTTCCCGCGTGTAAGAATAATAAGATTCTCGTCGCCGAGTCGTACCGGTGCGCAAGTGCTCGAATCAAATAACAAATACGGATGACCGAACTGTACACCAATGGTGCCACAGCTACTAGCGTCGGACATTCTCGTATACCCTAACCTCAGGAAGGGGACTCCCAGCCTCGAGAGAGAGAAAGATGATCGATGCTCGTTCCGATCATGATCATCATCACTATCCACAGAGAAGGAAAAGAGGCTTTCGAGCTCCCTAAGGAAGCGGGCCGGCTAGAGAAGCCTGCTCAAGCTCTGTCTACAGGAGGAAGTGACCGACCGATTATTCTAATGCCAACGACTGAGTGAATGCGTGTTGAGTGAGCTTGGGATGCAGCGGCCTTCGAACATCGTGAAACAACTCCTCGGCGTGTCCTTTCGGAGGCATCATCCATCCGGAGGGCGAAACCAACAACAACCTTTTTGTCAACGACAGCCTCATTGACATCGAGAATGATGAAGCCTCACCATCAACGCGGGGACACCGACATTAATATGATACCATCGATACCATCGTCTCTTGACAACCTTCGAAGCTGCCATCGCATTTCAACTCGACTCAACTACACGATCAACTGGGATGTGTTGTCAAACGGATCTGCTGTTCTTCCAGGGTGCTCTTCTCAGGTAGAGCATCCACTCAATCACTATACATAGAATATTCAGGGACAGAAAGACTATTTCTTTTGAAATGATTCCAAGAATAATCATTCTTGAGCGTATCGAGCTGCATGTCATGTACATATAAAGTCTTAACCGATCATAGAGTCATCATCAAAATGATGATGAGTTTGAGGGTAACTGGCTGTTTGTAATCGGATGTAGAGCCGAATGCGAGAGGGTGAATATCATACGCAAACGAGCGGGCGAGCGCTGAAAAAGAGTGCACGCGTCACGGTCAAAAAGGGGAAAACTCGTTATGGTAATGTTATCCGTAGGTCGAGGCATTCTGATTACGGAATCGATTCGTGATCGGGTTGATGAGGATGATTAATTTCAAGAAGCGCTCGGATTCGAAAAATCCATCAGGAAGCCGATGCTTTCAGGCACTACGAGGACTCTCATCTCATTCTAGCCCTCCTTGAAGACGACAAATATTGCAGAAAATCTCAGGAAGATCCGGGGAAACCGACTCTCGAGATGGGAAATCAGGTCTGTATGTCCGCCAGGGCTTGGCTCCTAAGATTCGATTAGCCCTTGAGTTTGAAGTCGGGTGTACAATCAGCACTTTCGATGTCTTCCGTATCGAGGAGCCAGGACGAGTTTTGCAATCGGAGTCCCAGTCTCTGCGGGCTCGTTCCCAGGCACAGTGAAACGATTCCTCGAACAAGAGCCAAGATCAGGAAGAAGTCTAGTTTTTTTCCGATTCGATCAACACACGATCCGCCGAGAAGTCATTGATAGGGGATAGGTATTCGAATGAAATACCAGCTTTCGGGAGTTTATCAGGTACGTGTTGTTCGAGCTCCGGTGGTACGACACTATTTTAACTTAATGGAACATGAAGCAAAACTAGATTGAGCTTCCCGGACCGAGGTGTCAAGAGAGGAAACCAGGCCGGAAAGTCGGGGAACCAGAGAGACGGGGGCTTCGGGGCCCTGAAGGTGCCCGTATGCCCTCTGGTGCGTTCGGTGTGCTTGTTCGGAGATGAGAAATACCAATGAACTAATATTACATCCAATATTATGAACGGATCCAAATGTATTTATCATATCTCTAGTTAATCGATCCATGAGTTCAATGATTTGGGGAACCCCCATATCGACAATAGACTTTATTATTTACTGAAGATGATAGACAGTATATATATGCAGACATGCTCTATGAAGATGGAGTGAAGCAAGGTCAGTCAGACGCCTCGGGCGGATGATGAGACCATGTGGGCGTTCAAGGAATGATAGAATCAAGCAGCCCATCGACAAAGGGGCAAACAAACAACCGAGCATCTAATAACAAGCACCGTTCGATGAGAACGAAAAGTCTTCCACTTTTTCTATAAAATTGAGTTTAGAGAATTTACAGTGTTAGCGGGTTCGGTTATGATCGCTCCCCTTCTCAACAGAGGCTACAGCTGTCATTACCGTGCCTGAGTGTTGGCCTGGGATATCCATGTATACGGAAAGACCCACTTATACATCATCGTGTAACAATATGGGAAGATATTATTCATGCGACTTCGATAAGTTTAGGATCGACCGAAAATCATATCGTTTGACGACGGGGCACATTGACGTCCAGCTATACGCACGGACTTGTTAACTTGTTAACCACACGTTCGGCAGAAACTGTTATTATCAAAGTTCACTCGTGCATATTAATTGATTGGCGACGTTTGTTGCTCTACGGAGATGAGACAGAGGTTTTATTATCCAGGTCAAAATGGTTTTGTGCGGAACAGTTCTACGTCGATGTTCTTAGCGGATCCGTAGAATCACTGGACGCCTCCGGCACCAACAAGTTATCCTTATGGGATACTCGCCGCTCTGGCGAGGAATCTGTAGAGTACAAAATAGAGATCAAAGTTGCATGGTGTCATCTCTGATTGAGTTGACGCGTATCGCCGTAATGACGTCGAACCGAACGCGGTTCCGCATTTTTCATTGTGAAACTACGGGCGTCGCAACGCTCGGTTACTAAGTACTACATCACGAGTGGAGTTCTCAGAAAGACCGAACATTCTGTTGCTCGCAGCATCTCGGAATTCGCGTAGCCTCACCCTGTTCTTGGGAGAATTATTCTTCTTCTCATTGCAAACGTTCGGCCGCAACCGTTATATTTTCTCGCGGCCGTTTCGTCGGAGAACTTCCCGTCTCCGATATGGCTAAAATTCCTCGAGCCTCTCTCTCGATATCACATTCCGAATCTTCAGCATTCCTGTTCTTCGGTGAAAGCGTGTCACCTCAGATTCCCAGCTCACAGTCTATTCGGTTCTCTCTTGACACCACTCAATCTTGCCGACAGTATAAAGGTATGGCGTCATCGAGAGTCTCTGAGGCGCCCCGAGCCGACTAGGGAAATGGAGATCGTTAAGTTCAGAAGCGAAGATGATCGGAGAACATATCGTAGGGGCCTCGAAAGAGGCAGAGAGGAGCGGATAGCGATCACGATATAGCATGCGATATGTAATACTGGAGAAGCTGCACTGGAATCACGCTGTAGATTTGCTTACAGTCCATGTATAGATTCGATCGGAGTGATTTACAGAAGACGCAGATATTTGTGTAAATAAATTCTTCGTTCCTTTTTTAACAGTACACACACGCAATCTGTTTATTGGCTCTGCCTCGCTCGCATCCGGAAGCGTCAGAGACTCTGAGGAAGCTCGAGAAGAGAGGGTGAGCTGGCTCACGGACTCTCGGACCGAAAA